AGGTCCTAACTCGCGACGAGGTACACATTTGTATTAAAACACACATCTAAGACATTTTCCATTTAGGTGGGTTTTGCAGTACAGTGGTTTCTTAAGTCGTGGACAAGTGATTGCGCTTATCTCTGTTGAGTAGCTATGTATTCTGTCCTATATTAGACACATTGGTAAATATCTGTCACAATATGGGCATAGAGATGATATAACGATAGCTTATCTTTGCGGACGACGCTAAACTTTGGCATCGACACCACGGCCTACAAGTTCAAATTCGGTCCTTCAGAAATGTTTGAAGTCTCCAGATTAAAACTACTTTTCTCTTTTATGTACCTACTGAACACATCACATGCATTTGTTCTGAAAGTCTAAAAACAGAGGCACAAATATATCGTCTAGACTTGTGAGGTCTACAGATTAGGTATTTTGGCAGTTATCTAAGCCCTTGCCTGTTCTGACTCAAAGCCTTATTCTTTCTCTATCGACGCCTTGCGTAACATGGGATTGGGTTTTTAAGGCGGCATAAAGCTTTATGTTGTTCCTTTTTGAGTACACTAGATTAAAAACTAACGTTTTCAGATGCCTAAAGATGTTTAACCACTAATTAATCAGAATAATGGGTCAAGATTTCAATTCTTGGTTTTGGGACACGTTAGTTGCCGGGGTTGAGCTAATGTCGATAGCATAAGGACTGTACCTTGATGCGGGCGTTTTATTTGTTGCCCATCGCAGAGGCGTAGCTAGGGGGGGGGGGGCGGGGGGGGGGGCGGCCGCCCCGGGCGCCGACCCTATGGGGGCGCCAAAAGGGGTGGGAAAAATTTTTTTAAAGCTGATTTTATGCTGCAGTTTTGAATTATAAACTGTCTAAGTTAAGAAATGTAATGGCTACACGCCTTTACATATTGATTTAACTGTTTTCTACCCTGATTTCTTAATGTAAAACATATACTCTTAAGAAACAGTGACCGGCAAAACCGCTTTGAAGCTTTTCCTAGATGGGGAGGGGGGGGGGCGCTTTTTCGAGACTTAAAACGGAAGAATTTACACTAGATTGTTGAGTCGATAAACGTTACCGCTATTAAAAGAAACCAGTTGTATTAAAACGTATTGTACGATTGTTGAACTGTAAAATACGTTAGTGACTTTTATCAAGATGGTGCAGGGGGGCGCTTTTAGGCTAAATAAAATAGCAAAATTACACAGGATTCTGAGTAAACAACCTTTAGCTCTCAGAAAGAAACGAATTGTACTGTGCATTGTATAATTGTGTAACATTTAAAAAAAAAAAGTTAGTTACGTTAAAAACCGCTCTACAAACTTTGCCCAAGATGGTTGTGATGAGTGTGTGTGGGGGGCGCTTTTTTCGCTAACAAAAATCGCAAGTATCTGTACTGGATTGGTGAGTAGATAACTCTCTTAACACTTAGTAAAGAAACCAAGTGTATTAACGCGTAATGTACAATTTCAAAAGCCAGTTTTGTTTAAAAAAAAGACGCGACTAGTTCTTTGTAAGATTCTTACGATTCTCTCAACTTCAACGTGAGAGATCAGATACTTTTGATTGATTGCATTACATCTTACCTGGATCACTGAACTATATTAAAGAGAACTAATTATCACAGATTCTTGAATCCCTAAGCCACTAACCACCACTTTTTTCCATGCTCTTATTTCATTCTCCACTGTCTGTAATCTAGCTCCAAGCCATACAGTAAAAGAGACCACATTTAGTTATAGATCCTGATTGAATTTTTTTGACAATGCATTTGAATTCTACATTTTCTTAGAGTGTTAAAACGCGTTTTATTGCTGCTGATTATAATCAGAACGTCATGGGCTATCATTAAATTGATTGTTACTGCTTCTTCAATCAATACAATTAGTTCTGCATTTGTTGTTGACGTTGTGCGAGCAGTGTTTCTTCCAGACTTTTTTCTCCGGGGGGGCACTTGAAATTTTCGAGGGGGGGGGGCGGTAGACTTTCTTCGGGGGGGGGGGGGCGGACACTGTTAAAAGACTGATTAAGCGTTGAGCTAAGGTACTATACCAGCTTCCTCCTTATCATGGTTCTGTGGATACAATTGGATTCTTAACAGATAGACTTATTTTTTGTTGTATTGTTTAAAAAAGGTGAGGAGAACAAATTTATTCTATCAACAGTTTGTCAAACCAAAATTTCTATTTTTATCGGTTAATTACTAAAATGTTTGTGTAGAAGCTCTTAGCTATACCTATAATTTATATTTTAGCCTGTTGATCAGAGAAAACAACCCTACAGTCTGTCAGAGAATCTGAATATTTTGTTGGAAGATCTACATTCTCCTAAGCTGGATCTTTTCCCCACAATCCAGTATCCATCTCTTATTCTTGACAAATCAGTTCTGAGATTTGTTCAACCTTACATGTCTTTTCAAAGTATTACACACGTGAAGTGCGATTGTCTTGGTATAGCCCCAGATTTTTGTGATGCCTTGAAGTCTTTAGATTACAGATTACAATATCACTTTACCTGCCAAAGGTGGCTGGAAAAGTTTTTTGAAGACAATTATTTTACATTTCTAGAGACATTCAATGAGCAAGAAGAACTGGTGATGGGTTTGGCTAAAATTGGATACACAAAGGAGAAGTCAGAGTATATTTTTAGCTTGATACCCAATGATGTATGCCAGCTACATTCACCATACTTTTGGGCATTGAGGTACTTGGGCAGCTCATTTTACCATAATACTCTGCTATTGTATGTACCGAAGTTTCCTTTCCAGTCTGATAAAATAAACGAATGGTTTGTTCAGTATATTGACTATGATGAAGATTATGATATCAGCTTCAACTTAGTCAAAATAATAAATTTGTCAAGCGTGGAAGCTGAGAAGGAAAAAGTCTTTCCTTTACTTGATTCTGAAGACTTTCTTATTCTTTATCATGGAACCACCTACCAGAGTTGTCTGAACTTGATTAGAAATGGAATAGATCTCTACGATGGCAGTGCTAAGCAAGATTTTTCCAACAGAGATGGCTTTTACTTGTCTGAAGATCTGGAGGATGCCAAGAGATGGGGAAGTGCTGGACGTGGAGACAGTTATGCTGTTTTAGTTTATAAAGTGAGACGAGACTTTATGGATGCTGAAAAACAACACGGACTGGATCTAAAGGAATATGATGAGTGGAACAAAGTTGTCAAACATTGTAGGAGTGGCTACAAATTTGAATTAGATCCTTCTTTCAATTTAGAAAATGTTTTTTTTCATTCGTGGTCCGACAGCTGCTGGTCAAGCTTACTTAGATGGTCAACTTGGATGTGACTTTACAATGGGAGACTCTATCCAGATATGCATCAAAGATAAAATGTTTGCCAAACAATTTGGGGAAATTGGAAATGTATTTTGTGTGCTCTTCTACTAAATAAATCTTAGCAGCTTTAATGAATAAAATTGTAAATTTTGAAATGTATTGGAAATTATACACATTTTAAAAACTTTCTTTTCCATTCTAAAATCTACCCACATTTTACATTTTTGTATTACATTGCAAAATATAGCCCTCATTTCATCCTTTTTTTTTGTTGTAGAACCTACCTCACTTCTACTGCTAAGTCTGGAAAAATTAAATCAAAATCTTGATGCATGGTCGCAGGAAAAAATTCCTGGTAATGGTACAATAAATTGCACTTTGGTCATTTCAAATTTTTTTTTGACAGGAAATTTGTAAAAGGTTACATTTTTAACATTTATGATATAAAATTCCAATATTAAATTCCAATGTTATTGAAGATTATTAATGAATCATGCATTGTTCTACTTAATTTCACTAAAATATTTAGTGTTCATTTATGGGAAAACCACTTAGCTATGATAGTGATAAAAGCATATCACATAGGCCCAGTTGTAACATTGCACCATTTCTGTTTTTCTCTATTGGGTGTTTAGTAAACCATCTTCATCTATAGTTGATGGCACTGAATGTTTTCCTGGACAGATGATTCACACTACTCTATATACACCACTGGCTGATTGGGAATGAAGTGTATTACTATTACTTTTAGAAACCAGAAGGCTTAGTCAATAAAGTGTAAACTGTATCCATTTTGACCAGTGTATTATTCTGATGTCACAATCAAATAAAAGTTTTAATTAAATAGACAGGTTACTGTTTACTTGTAATGGGGTCAAGGTTTTAAACCATATTTATGTCAACACATTTATCTTGCCTACAAAATGATTTAGATATAAGTACTTTTGAATTCAAGATCTCTATAAAAGCATCAATGCCCAATTACTAATTATAATGCTGAATTTGACAGTTAAAAATATGTGAACATTTTTATTCTACAAGTAGATCTAATATGCTTCATACTTTATACAAGTTTTGGATTATGCAACAAATCATTTTTGGCAAAATACTACAAAAATGTTTAATAGAAATATAAACTTTATTCAAAGCATTAAATTCTAATCACACAGCATTCATACATTTTATAACTAAATTAAGGATATATTGGTTAATACAATTGCACAAAGAATTATTTATCATTTTGTTAAAGCAAAAATATTAAAAAAATCAGATTTACATCCATTCAAGGCACATGAGAAATGCTTACTTAATTTTATTTGTTTTTTCAGATTTTTAACAATAACTAATAAGCTAAATATTTCATTATATAACAAGTAACATTAAACTTAATATTATTTCATTATGTAACAAATTATAAGCTTAATATAAGCTCAATTAATTATAGTGCATAAAAAGTAACCAAACTTAATACTTTATTATATAAATAATAATATAAGTTAAAAATAATTTTATTATAAATCAAAATACTGCTCCGAAGAAAGACATTTTTATTAAGATTTCACCAATGTGTTACCAATAGTGTATTTTTAGATGCGTGATCTTATCTAAATCTGATTTAAGTGTAATAATATATATAAATCTTAAAATTATTTCATTAATAAATAGTAAGCCTAATATTTGATTGCAGAAAAAATAAATGAAAGCTCATTTATTATATGGCTTATTTCATTACAGAAATATAAATATATCAAATACAAATACAATTTTGATTTTTATGAACACCTTTGGTACAAAATATAGCATGAATATTTTTCAAATGATAACTGTTAACTAGACATATGTATAACAATTTAAAAAAGATAATTGTGTAATCAATCCTCTTCACAAAAAATACCCCAAAAAATGTTGAACATCAAATCTTTACCCCATGAGTACAAACATAAGTAATAAATCAGTACAAGTACAAATGCATGAGCATGCGGAAGCAGGTGAAGAAATGATCTTCTAGCCTGTAAAAATGAAGAAATAGATACATGTTAGTCGCATAAAACACGACGAATTGTCGACTGTGGAAACAATGTACCTAAACGGTAATTTGTGGGTTGAGAACAGCAGAAATGCAAATAATGCAAAGAAAATAAATTTCGATGGGTTGGGCACAATCTCAGAAAGCAAGACAACGCCAATTATCACTGGTGTTTTCTTAAAAAAAAAAAGATTTAAGTATGAAGGGTGTCACTCGCAGTTAGGTTCAGTCTTGTCGAGGTTGTGAAGGCTGACCCGAATTTTTTCAAAATGGCAGAGTTAATTATCGGGAGCCTGTTAGACATGACCCTTTTGTGGTATTTCTTTCAGTCTAGTTCCTTTGTCAATAGCCCATTGAATTTTTTCAAGACAGGATTTTTTTTTCCTCGTTTCGCAGATGCTAATTGCCAAGGTACCGTTTGTCCTTTAAGATGAAGTTGAACATCAACAGTGTCGACATTTCTCGGTTTTTCTCGAGTTAAATCAGAGATTCTTTCAAGCATATCTTTCGGTTGATATTGAAACTATATACTTTAACACCCCCCCCCCCCCCCTCTAGAAATTTTTCAAAAGATCATCTGAAAAATCCAGTCTAAATATCCCGAAACTCGATTGTCGCTTTCCAGCTTTGATGGTTAAGATAATAAAAGCATCATAGCTAGGTGGCTAAACGGAGGCCCACCTTCTCTAGCCAAGACCCATCATAGAGGTCTACCGTATTTATCCGAGGCCCAATACGACCTAGGTGGACTCAAACGATCCCACAGTCATTACTATTAGGACTCATTGGGACCAATCTCCGCCAGTAGCGTAGCGATGGTGGGAGTGAGGGGCGGGGGGACATATGTCCCCAGGCGCCGACATTAGGGGGCGCCAAAATGGGCTGGAAAAATAAATTGAATGGCGAGGGGGGTGCAAATCGAAATCTTGAGGGAGGGGGTGCAAATCAAAAAGTTTGTCCCGGGAAGGGTCGCTACGCCTCTGATCTTCGCTAGCTGTATATGGGGCGAACACAGTTATATATATATATATATATATATATGTTTTTTTTTTATAACCATAATAAGGAGGAATAAGCACGAGAATTAAGACGTACTAGTGTCAAAATTTATATTTGCTGTCGGATTTCATGCTTCCCAACGAGTGAGACCAGAGGTATTGTGGGGTTCCGCGGCACGACGGTTCATAAACAGCGCATCTACACCAGCTTTAACAACAGTCACAGGGATCATGAAGAAAAATTTTGCGCGTTCAACCTAGAAAAACGGTATAGTTTTGTGTAGTGTAAACAGAACTGACTATTATTATTAAAATAACTGAAAAAAATGGTAGGTTAAATCAGAAATCGAACATGTAGGAATAAAAGATGTATTAAGTCTTCATTAAAATGTTTTTATTACTATAGAAAATACTACTGTTACTGGAAAAGTGAGTTATTTAGTATTGAAAAACCTTATGTTCAACTTACCTGTTTGCTAACGGGTCTATTGTACTTGACTTCGTTCGCGAAATGTTCGCAGTTGTAATTTACGATACTGTATTTACTTGAACCAATTTTGGCTTTAGCTCTTTCGATCGTTTCACTAGGGTCATTAGGTACTGCTTCGCTGTGGAAATAAAGAAGTGTAGGCCTATATTAATTTTGATTTCAAGATCTCAGAACAAAAGTTATCTCTCAAGAAAAAGAATGAGATCCGCTACATCCTAGTAATCTATGTTTTATAGGTGACAACATATTCTAGATGGTGACACCACAAAGAAGTATAGCTAATATTAATGGAGAATTTCTTTTGCCATTTAGACTCAAAGCTTATTGAAGTTGTTTCTTTAGTTTTACTATATCTGGCAGTCTATAGTGTAAAATTATTGGCATAGGGTTTGTAATATGCTGTGTTAAAACAATATGTGTCGCAGCACCTAGTTATATGTAGCATTAAATATGTTAAAATACTCACTCCCAATTAGCAAGCTCAGCCTTGCTGTTGCCAGCAACGTATAAGAAATCGTCGCTTTTTACAACAGCAAACAGCTTCAATAGACCAAACGCTGAAAGAAACATCCCAATGATGCTTTCTGCCGTTAGGTGAATCACGCTTCCATCTCCTTAATTAGAAAACACATATTTTTACACATTGTAATTTTTTTGTTATCGTTCTGTTTTATTAAACAAAAATCACACATATCCTTTATACGATTAATGCAATTAAAAGTTACTGTAAGCCAGTTATACTATTTATAGTAGTTGATATAAATCTACAAATCTAATGTTTCAATAATGTGAACAAATAATGATGGTTTTATTTCTGTTTATTTAACTAGAACCATTCTAGAGTGTACAGAAGCAGTTTGTTTTCATTAAAATGTAAACGAAACATTTTTTTCAAGTTTAATAAAAAATGTATCACTCAAAACAAGGCATAAAAAGTAAAGTTTCCCTGTCAAACCTGAAGGTCAGCGGGGCAAGTGAAGTAGAGTTCACTTTCTTCTGTGACCGCGGCATATGAAGAGATAGTATGGTCAGCACTATGCCCAGCCTCCTTTACTCTCCCTAACGTGAGTTAGGTACCCATCAGAGTTGGGTGGACTCAGGGACGGTCTACTGACTTGAACCCGGATTCGAATTCGAGACTTACGGGTTAGCAGTCCAGCTCTCTACCGCTAGACCACTCCGTCCCACTCAAAACAAGGCATACAAGTTATGAAATTTCTTAAAAAATAAAAATGTACACAATGCACATCATTCTCACATGTATAGTTACACCATAACATGAATAATGAAAAAGTGAACCAAGTTTCAAGACATTATCTCTGCAAACAGCTAAAACATTAGAGTTACAATAAGCAAAAATCTTGAAAAAACAAGTTTTGAGAAAATTAACTTTTAAATTTACACATTTAAAAAGTACCATAAAAAAAATCTATTAGCAATATCACGAAGAAACTTTTAGTATCCAAAGTTCAACATAAGCAGTTGAAAAATAAACCATTGCCAACTATAGTTTGCACATTCTTCTGAAGTTTTACCACTTAAAATCGTATAGTGGTTAAGTGTGCACAATTCCGCAGTTTTCTTGCACTAAAAGTTAAACCTTTCTGATCAACTATTGACATGTGTAGTTGCTATTGTCTTTTTCCCAGACTAACACAAGCTTGATATAGTACATTTTAGCATATTTGAACTATAGTTTAATACAAATTTGACAAATAATGTACTAATAATATTTACATACAACTTAAGCTTATGACGACATTCACAATTCTGCTTGAAGAGGGTAAGCTCAATAACTTGACATCATAAGTTATTTATAGTAGATGGGCACTTTGCCGCTGTATTGCTCTTAAGTTCTAGTACAAATAGCTAATAAAAACATAAGCAGCTTCAGCTTACATTATTAGTAGTATCGCAGCAAAACTTTGCGTAACGATATGTAAAATGATGAGAGATTCAATGTTTTTTTTTCCAAATCCATTCACCAAGTAAACATCTGAATTTTGAGAAACTAACACCACTGTCTATATAGATAACATGGCTCTAATATTGACATCATGATGTAGGTCTATCTAAAGTGAGCTTCTTGTAAACCATGAGGTCAAATTTACATTTCATGACATCACATTTCCTTGCGGAAAGCTCCAAGTTTTATCCACAATGCTTGCACAGTCCTAATTGTGGCATATCTTCTGGATATGTAGATGTGAGCAAGCAAATAATGTAAGGGACAGTTACATTTCTTGATTCTTGTTTGCAGTCAAAACTGATTTGGGTTCACACACAACCAGCTTATTCGGCATTCATTGTAGGAATTGTTGGACTGTAAAATAAAAATAAAAGAACAACTTATTATTTAATTTTTAAAAGCTAATAATATACATAACTAGAATGACTAATTTAGTAGGTATGCTAAATGAAATTTTCACAATGAAATTAAATAAAATTTAACACTTCCACCTGATAGGGATTGCTTTCATCAGAACAGAAACACCAAATTTATTGATGTATGTCCATTTTTAAAAAAGTTATGAATTTTTTAAAACTCGAAAAATGTGTTCGCTTTTCGAGCAGTAAAGGGTCTATTTGAGACCCCTACTAACTTCTAAAATAACTAAGTTAGAACTCACAAATTTCTTGCACACACAGCCAGTAATACAAATAGCACACCCAATTTTTTTCAAGGTTGTCAGACAGATATAAATGGAAAATTTATTCACTTAAAAATGGGCCAAAGCAAAAATTTTTCAAAGTTTCGAAAAGGGAGACAAAAAGTCAATTTACAGTCATTTTTAAAAAATCATAGAAAATCAACTAATTAAGCCACATTAATAATATAAATGTTCTAAGAAAGGAAATTCAAAGCATGTTAATATGAAATAAGCAGGTAAAGAATTAATAAAGAATACAATTAGTGAGACAAGATTCAGCAAGGTCAGTTTACAAAAATTAGAAATTTCATCCTTTTTCAAAAAATTATAACAAGTTAATAAAGTAAGGTATCAAAATAAAATTTAAACCATATTGAAGCACATGATGTTTTGAATATATAATTAACACAGAAACATAAAACAGTCATTCTGCAAAAATATATAAGGCATCCTTCCTTAATGCCAAAAATCAAGAATTGTCATTACCTCACATCTTGCAAAAAGTGTCCTTACTTTTAAGAAAGTAATATAAATTGTGTAGGAAACATGTTAGCATTACTTTGTTATAAAAAATTAAATAACTATACTATTACTTTACTTATATACTTACTTAATTACTAAGAAGAAATTTCATGCCTTTTAAACACTGATGAAGTAAGATAGCTAATTAAACTGAAATTCTTTTTAAATGATCCTGTTAGCTTTGTGATGTTCATCTAGTTTTGTTACTCTGCTCCCTAATCATGACATGTTTAGCCTAAATTTACTTTTTATCAGCAAATTTATTTCTTCTAGTTAGTTATTGATCAATGTCAACTTCTGGAAATGTCTAGGTCCTAACTTATACAATTATCAGAAATCTTAGAGCAGGTTAAAAAAGACAGGTCAGGATCCTGATTGGGAAAGTTCTCCATGTGGCTGGGTAGCATTGTAATTCATAGTCAATATCCTGGTTGAGTTTGTCTTCTTCAAGGTTTGGAGTAGCATTGTAATAAATTATTGTGAACTGGCAGCACACATCAAATTATGGAATCTAGTAAGGGATCCTTCCATTGGTCCAGAGTAGAGAAAATGTCTGTGAATAAAAACAATTAATTAGCATTTCCAATATACTGACTTATATAGTAGGTTTGTATATCTTTATAGCAACTTAGATAACAATCATGTAACATTACATCATTATTACTAATAAGCAAAGTGCATAAAATACTAACATCTGACATATGGTTTCCTTCAAAAGTATTCAGTAGTCCTGTTGGTGCTTACACAAACAATACACATTTTTGACAGGTCTTTCAGTTTCAGTTTCCCCTTTTCTTTTGCTAATATCTTGCTCTGTAAATAGAATAATATTAAAATTAAGGCTGCTCAATGCTTTTTAGATATTAAATGTAAACACTTTAGATAGTTCTACTACTAAATATTAACATAAAAGCAATCGTTAAATCTAGGCCTAACGAATGTAAGTAGATCTAGAAACAATTTTGGACTAAACTATTATGGAAGGAGGGCTACATTTTATTTTAATGTCAGTTCAATAAACCTAGAGATAAGAAACGTTAACGATCGTTGTATTCTAAAATTTAATGTAATTACTGCAATTATATAGAATAGTTAACTATTAAACTAGGAAAAACAAAATAAACAATGCTACAATAAATTGAAAGAATGCTGTTAACCCTGCGTAATATAATAGTTGAACCCAACATTACGAGAAGGCAAAAAAACAAAAAAAAACAATGGCGGACAATGGCTTGAAATATCGACAATATATTGATAGTTTAATCGGTCGATGTTAATAATTAATAAAATTCACGAATACAAATTAAATTCTATCACTCTTTTAAACATCTTTTTGATTTAACTGTGCATTCCTTTTTTACTTTCTCGTATATACGTAGTATAGAAAAAGTATTGTAATCGTGCAAAAAAAAAAAAAAAATCGAGATTTGTTGTAAATCTCGACGTTTTACACCTCACTGATACGGAAAAACATAATTTTGCAATCTTGTCCGTATGTCTGTGTGTGTCTGTGTGTGTGTCCGTGTGTAAACACGATAACTTGAGTACCGTTACAGCTAGGTTGATGAAATTTCATATATAAGTATTATATCAAAATCGTAGATCCGTATCAACTTTTGAGCGATTTCCAACAACCGGAAGTGGTACTTTTTCTACTTTGAATTTTTCAAAAGCCTATAACTTGAGTACTATTTCAGATAGATAAATGAAATTTCCCTTGTAAGTAACAGATCTAATTCTCTATCTTCTGTTAAATTTTGAGTAATTTCCGTTGACCGGAAGTAGTAATTTACGCCACTTCCGATTTCTCAAAAAACTAATGTAAATTTATTAAGTACTAATACTATTGCGCACTATTATACACACCTTTATTAGGCGTTCGCTTGGTGCGCAATTGTTTTTTACTGAGATTCTATTCTATTTTTAAAAGTTTCAGTATTTAAAATGGATTAAAAATCATAACTATATCCCCAGTTACCATCCCCTGTTGTTTTATATAAGAATATTCGAGAAAGTTTAGGGGAGATCACTACCGGTTTATTATTTTGGTAATCGTAAATTAAATACAAAGAACTTTTAAAAAGGGCTGGATAATTTTTGGTAAATGTTTTTTTAAGCGGATAGCAATTACCGATAAGTGGACACTAAAATGCAAATGGTTTAAAGCAGCAGTTTATTATAAATAAAATGAATATAGCTAACAATTTATAAAGCACATAACTTACCTAGACATTGTTTATAATCCATGGTAATCCGCGAATAAACACAAAATCCTGCTTTGAACTTGAGCAGGGTGTTCCGTGACAGTAAGCAAAACTAGATTTAAGCCGGCAAAAGTTAGCGCGGGTCATCACGATACGTATGCGTTCGTTTTTATTTCTGCGATCCGATACCATACATTAAGTGTTAATTAAATTATAACATGTTTATAGTAAATTGGACGCCCGATCTGAATATATAATTTTGCCGGCTGTAAAATAATTTTTT